TCTTAAAACAAGTTTGTGTATGCGTATCTTGCCGTTCTCCCTTCGGGTTTTTACCACCGGTTCACAGCATGTTTCACCGACCACTAGTAGTTGAAGTGTGATACAGTATGGAGCTGAATTCTGAAAAATATTCCGTTGCCTTTTTCTCCTGTTCTGTTCACGCATGATCAGGTATGATGTGGAATTGCCTGATAGAATCAAGTTCAAACAGCATGTTTAGCGTAAACGATATGTAAGATATCAGTTTTATTTCACAAGTATCTCTTTTCGTCTATTAAGGTTTGTTCCTTTCCGAAGCGTCTCTCAGGGCACCGGTAGAATGACTGCATTCTGCAGGTTAGTGAAAGTCGGGTCTTCTACCCACAGGTATATGAGATATGCATTGACTCCGATAAAGAACAATGTCATGATTGTACCTATGACCTTCCACTCATTAAATGACCGTGGCACACGACCACCCCTGGAGTGGATGTTGTTCACAAAGTATATGCGTCGCAAGTGGTATAGAGTTGTTGCGTACATGATCAGCATATCACAAAAGAGAACTATCGCTGTAGATACATACAACACCTCTCTGCCCGTAGCCAGCTGTAGCAGACCTACGCAGAACGTCGCCAAACTACTAGTCCACTGGATGTAATTCAAATACGTACGCTCGTTCGCCATGAACGCTTTGCCGTCAGTCTTTCCGTACTTTTTACGGTTGAGTCCGTGTCGCTTGGCCTTTTTGAAAATATTCCTCGTCTTACTAGTCGGTGCTTTCCCGGGTTTTACATCGCTCTTACCGGGTTTCATTTCTGCTGTAGACATTTCCACGGTGTTGCACGAGCCCTGGGAGTGCTCTTGTATGCTCGTGTTATCATAAGCCCAGATTTCGGAGTACTTCTTACGCAGCATTTCACGGGTTTTAGGTGAGTTGCTTGGTATACAGTTGGTAGCCTGTGGTGAGACATCACCAGAATTTTGTAGTTTACCAGCCGCACTTGAGTTCAACTGATCACTCCATGTCGCCACCTCGGCATTCCACTTCGGCAAAGGATGGGCGTGTTTGGGGTAGAACTGTGCACACCCATACCCGTATTTGCTCAACTTGATCTTCCTGGCGTTGCATTCCATCAGAGCAATGTGTATCCACTCGGGACACTCGGACTTGCCCCCTTCAAACATCGCTACTTTCACTTCCACAACACTAAAAGGCATTTTCTCGCCTCGGCCTTGTCCAGTTCCATCGGCCGCTTCTATCTCAGCCCAACTCTGTGGCTCAGCAAACAGCACAATATCCCGGTCGAGTGTGATGCGCAAGTCCTGGTTTTTTTGCTTCATGAACGATGTCCTGAGGTATTGAGTTCGCACCTTGGGCTGCAAGTGCACCATCGCTTCTTGTATGTCTTTAGCGAGCTTCTCCTTCGATGGATTCAACTCTTCGATTGGTTTACCTGTTAGAAACCTGTTCATCTCCTTCTTGGGCAGGTCCAATCTCTTCTTGTTGCTATACTTCTGTACTTGTTTGTAGTTGTGATGTCGTTTGCGCTCGATGAACATGTTCTCAACAGGTTTGAACGAAGTTCCATACCACCGCACACGATATAGCTCGGCACATTCATTCTTGACTACACGCCCCTTGTACATGTTCAGGTATTCGTCGTCAAAGTATGAACTATTGTTCATCTGGGATGCAACTATCTCGCCAGACGGTAGCGTGAAGGAGGAGATAGGAAGTTCGTATTGTATACGATCAATAAACGCTTTTACCGAGTCGTTGGGCAGAACATATTTGATACTTTTACGTACGAATACTTGTTCCTGCTCTTCACCTCTATCATGGGTCTCAGACCCAATCTCTATGATTGCAGCCATGTCAGTGTAATTGTACAACAGATTGGTGAGTTGGTATCAGATATTAGCCTTGACTACCTCTCAAGTTTAGCACTTCCTATTTATGAAGTGACAAAGAGTGGTAAGGCTCTCTTGTCTGCAGCATCATATTTGTAAAGAAGGGTGGATAGTTGGAACGTCCGTACATCACCATCATGATATGCATCATGAGATCATATTTCTTGTAACCAATATTAAATTATTACATAATATATACATTTTGCATGCTAATCATGAAACAACCAATCACAACTATAAACCAACAGATGGTTTTTGATCGGCGAAGTGATCGACGGATCTATTCCGGGCGAAGAAATATGGTTTGCCCGGGATGACTATGGTGATTGGTGAATCCATGCCGAACTTATCCGTCATACTCTAATTTCTGGCCTTGATAGGATTTTAATTTCTAAAAAGCTTTTTTTTGTTTTTGTAATAAAAACACACACCTACGTATGAAAGCATAACTTGTACGAATTAAAAAAAACAATATGTACTAAATACATAATATTCGTCTCGACTCCTCCTATCAGATATTTCATTTTTCCAAAACAAAAGAATAACGGTTCAGATTGAAAATACCTATTATGTTTGAAAAAATAGCTCAATTGTACACACAATGTGTTCTGTTCGTCCTCAGATAAGGGTAGATATCAGGATTTAATAGATCCTGCAATGAGTAATGAATTGTTTCTATAAAATCGAAGTTTCTGTATGGGATATCACTCGTCCTCGACTACTCCGACCTCCGTGCCAAACAAACGGATAAAACATTTATTCGGCTTCTGTATGTAGCAATATTTTTCCTTCATCTCAAAATCCAGGTTCAAGAAGTGTACTTGAATGTTTACGTAATTTTACTCTATAGAGAAGAATACCTGGCACAATGCATACGACAAATTTTAGGGGAAG